TCTCAAAAAGAATATGATATTATTTTTATTTCGAATGTTTTTTTGTTCGTGTAAAGTTTCAATATCGACCGATTCTGCAGCCAGATGTTTATTAGAAATCCTCTATGATACTTAGGTAGTTTTCACAAATCGAAGTTCCTACATTATTATTATGATTTTATTAATTTCATTGTGTCACCTGTCATTAATAATTCATCATTATTGTTTATTATTTACCTACCTATAACTATATTTGTGGTCATTACTTCGAGTGTGATGACCAAATTATAATTTTTAGTAATATCTATTTAATAAAATATTATTATTTGTTATACAGGACATAGGTACTAAGCGAAAATCGATGGGGAACGTTCTGTCGGTCCTCCAAAAACAATTGATACTCATTTTTATTTTATTTTTTTTTATTATTGATTGTAAGTGGATGTTTGTAACAATTTAATTGATATGTTGTGTTAGCGAATTTCAACTATAATGCAGGTACCAGGTGTAAAAGTTATACATATAAATGTATTTTTTACTGTACACCAAATGAGAGTTAATACAATTCAAAACGTATATGTGGATAATGTGCCTACAGCGCCTGATATACAAGGTATCGGCCTACTGAGTTTTAGGATTTTATTTGGCCCTACAAAGTTAATGACCCATTTTTCAATAAGACATAATATTTATTATATATTACTATTCATATTTTCATTGTTCATTGTTCGGAGTATTCGAATATTTTCGGTCATATGTTAGGCCCAAATTTTAAGCAGCCTACCAAGTTGTACTTGGTAACTCGGGCTTATTCGGGCTTGTGTGTATATAATATAATATTATACCTAAACATAATATATTATGTATTTAATATTTAATACTTTTATACATATTATACGAAGCCAATGTTATTATATTATTACGCATGTGCGCCGTATGTTTTAAAATGTAGTCTTTTAAAAAAAAAATTGGATATCAAAATGATATACGACATAGGTCTAGTTATGTACACAGTTATTTTAAATTAGACGTTATATAAAAAGGTACTACGCGTACCTATAAAAAATATCAATTTACGGTTTTAAGCTCTGGTCAAAACCACTACTGTTAGAAAAAATATTTTGTAGTTAAAAATGTATAAAGTATTATATTTTTATAGCTAATTCTTGAAAATGATTTCCTTTCTAGCCTAAATTTGGCCAAAGTTCGATATTTAAACAAAATACTGGTGGCACACGGAAAAAAATAATTGAATAGATTTCAACAAAATAGTTGTTTGCTTACGATTATATAGTGGCAACTAGAAATTAATAGATGTTACATAAAAATGCGCAATGGCTGTCGATATGTGATGTTACAGACATATACAAAGTGTTGTTAAATGTAGTATTGTTGATCAAGCCAAGTATAAGTTGAAAATAGTTAACAATTTGTAGGTGGTACAAATTAAAAATGTAAACAGAAATTCTTGATAAACCTAACCGAATTCCTTAAAGCTTTAACCAAATGTATTTTTTTACAGCAAAGAAGTATTGTTCAATCAATCAAATGTCGAAGTGTTGTTATAACAGTTAGGTAGAAATGTAGAAATGTAATGCTCATAATGGATTTATGTTTACACCGTAATTTGTTACTCCCACAAACCACTAGGTTTAAGAAACGGTTATTTTGGTTGTAACTAAAATATTTCTATGGGTATTCTCAAATATATGTTTGCGATAACCGAACGCTTGATAACGAATTATAAATCACTAATTAACCGAATAGTATTGTAGTTTCAAGGGTTTCAACTGGCAATTGTAATTTGTTCTTATTTGTCTGTTTGTCAGCTAAAATAAATACTGCAATTTTAGTTATTTTGATGTAATTCAAAAGTATTTTTCTCGGGGATATAAAACTTGCTTATATAACTATATTTTTTATGTTTTTAAATAGACAAAGATATTTTTCAAAGATATTTAGATTAATTTTTTGGTAGTGTCTATTTATTGTTTAAAACCATAAATAATAGTATAATAAATTACTATACTACTAGAATATTTAATAGCAATATTTATTTATCTTTATATATTATTAAAACGTAAGGCGATTTCTTGTGACAGTTATATCTGAAGTTCTACCAGGCCGATTTTTACAATTTTTTTTTAAACGAAAGTACTCGGTGTGTAGATAAGCCATCGAAAGAGAAAAGTCCAAAAAGTTAATTATTTTAATAGTACCTAATTAGAAGTATAAAGTTTGTCGTATTATATATACGTATACATAGGCGGCGGCCCTAATAGGGTTTCCATAACTACCTGTAACCTGGCCTTTTTATATCGACGTGTAGATATGAATTGTTCCGAAAAGTTGATCAATAAAAATTATCTCGCACACATAATACAACTACAGAGCAGTGCTGTAATATTGTGTCTTCGTCCGTTTTTTTTGTACCTATCGTTTATTTGTGTTTCTTATGACAGTTATACATCTTATTTTTTCTAACGCAAGTACTCGGAGCCATCAAAAGAATCGTTTTTCATATTCAATAATTTATCACTGAATTCAAATTTAACACATATATTTCATTGATATACCCAATGTTAAAGCACACATGGCTCCTACTATATTGCGAAGTAGTTACCTTGTAACGGAACATATCCAGAATGTGTTATTGCCACTAAAGCAGACCTGAATTTCTGGGGGTGTCTACAATATTCTTGGGCCCATTTCTTAATTTGGGCAAACGCTCTTAACAAGACAGTTTATAAATATTATAATCAGTGGTATAATATAATTACTAGTAACAAGTTATTTATTTCCTTGGATCTAATATAATATCTAAGATCATTGCAACGTTTATTTATTATTTGTATTTTTGTAGTCTGCAGCGACAGCTGATATAATCATGATAAGTTATCCTTAGCAAATTTAAAATATTTTACGTTTAATTATTTTTAATTATTTGTTTTATTATTATCACGAAACACGATTTATTTTTTTACACATTTAAAAAAATGACATTTTAGTCTAGTAACATCAGATAAAACATGGCCCCTATATACTCTGTGTTTAATTTCAAGGCTCCAATACCCGCACATTCGCCTATGGGTTTTACGCAGAGTGTGCCTCTTCGACCTACTTTTTTTATTTTTTAAATAAAAAATAAAAGTATACCTAACAATAATTAATGATATGTTAAAATAGTGTAACAAGCTGGGTGTATCAAATATAAGTATATAGTTATATAAATAAATGTGTGATAAAAATATTTTAATAGATATAGTCATAAATAAAAATAATATTATAGCCTTATAAAAGTAAACTAGTATATAAATAATAAGCTATAATAAATTACCAACATCTCAATGTCCTGGATAGCTTTAGCCAACATATTATTCCAAATATTTTAATAATTTTAGATTCTGAGCAGAGCAATGAATGTCTTGATTAAGTAATTAAAAAATAATAATTAACTGCCGTTGACCAATGTGAATAGATTAAAATTAATCTAAATATTTTAATTATTTCATTGTGTCAAGGTTAGGTCAAAAACTTGTTAGTGTGACGATCGGTAAAAAATGTCGTGTGATTTTTTAATTTATTTTTTAAGTCCCTACAAATAATATTTAAGGAATTACAAGTATAGAATAATGTACGAAACATTCTGCACTACATTTATAAAATGTCTTATACTAACGAGCAATAATTGTATAAAAAATCGACTAAGAAAGCGGTCAACCTTCCAATACATAGCACGCAACCGCTGGCTGAGCCGAAGGGAACTTGATAGACCGCCAATTGATATACTACGGGCTACGATCCATCTTGATCCTACGACCACCAGAGGTTGTACTTACAGTGATTGTGTAAATAATAGATATGTTATATAACTTACAATAAATTGTATTTTCAAAGTGGAAAAATAATTTATATACATACCTACTTTCGTAATTTTAATGAATTTTGTGTTTTTTTTTCATACAAAATATTCCCGTTTAAAGCTATTTTTGTTATTTGTACCTGATTATATTACAAATTAATAGACGTTTTTAAATTTCACACCCAACTAGATCCTTGAATTTCTAATATGTCAATAAAAGAATGTGATAATATTATTTCTTGCAGATTTGTCGATTTCAGTAATAAACTATTATTAACTGTTATAGTAGTTATCTACTTATGAGGAACTATATATATTTATTTTTCAAACCTTACTAGATATGGGTTATCATTTGATGAAAATGTCAAAAGTTTCTAAGGTTATTTGTTTTTGAATCACAACAAAATAAGACGATCGTTTTTTTACTCGGCTACTACAGTATTGTATAATGTACTAAAATTATAATCGTATTTTTTTGAAAAGTGTGACCCTCCCAGGATCCCCAACCCGATTTGAAATTTATAAGTCTGCTACTGAGTGCCAAGTATATACAATAAACCTGACACCTCGCTTGGTCAGTGCTGTGTTTAGTGATTATCAGTGACGTGGTGAACATTTATAAGCCAAGATCACAGCATATATTTCAGTACTTACCTATCTAAATATAATACAGTATAATAAATTATAATGTGACTGTAAATATTTTAATTTGTGTTTTATGTTATAGGTTACCATAATATATCCAACCACCCTGCCCTCCAAAAAAATGTCCACCATGATGCCTATTAGGCGTCATACAACCTTGCTCTCCACGCCACTGGTTATAATTATATTAGTTACTATGATTATTAATTAATACCAATAATAATTTAAGTATCTTAATGAATTTAGAAGTACAGAACATAGTAGGTACCTAATAATAAGTCATAAGTCTTTAAGATACAGTACAGCTCTAAGAATTGAGAAGTGGCGAATAAGATGTTGGCCATGGGGCTTATAACCCCGAACCACCCACCCAACTTTAGCGGCTTAAACCAATGTGTTTTATGCAGTCGATTTTGGTTTAAAATATTTTCGGGCGACGATGGTGACCCGTCACACGTTTTATTCCGACGAAATATAAACATGGGCAGATAGGTAGGTAACATCATACACTTATTTACTCGTCCGACGGCGGTTCGTCCAAATCGTCGTCCCGACTTTTAGCGGATCTTCGGTACAGTTGAGCCAGGCTGACACACTTCGAGTCGGTGCGTCTGCTCCGCAACATTGAACTCACCTCCGCAGAACGCTCGCCGGTGGAGTCGAACATGGTTCGCCGTTCCGACCATTTCAACGGCACCCCGCTGTCCAAGAGACGTTCGGCGTGCGATTCGGTGGATCGCTCATGTTTCAAACCGGAACAGCTTCCGCTGCAGTCGTCTTCGGCTCCCCGGCCACTACGTCCAGACAGCGGGACTCGGTAGTCGTCGACCGGCGTCGGACGTCTCGCGGGCGGATCGACGAACGCGTTGCGGCTCTTGTGGCTCTCTTCGGCGGCATGTTTGCGATACATATCGGAAAGCCGTGGACGCTGATGCTGTGACGGTGACGTATCGTCAACTGTCCGCCGTTCTTCGGGCGGCGGTTGGACGTTCCCGTGGCCGGCGCTCTGCCTTATCGTGCACAATTTCGGCCGCGGGCAATCGCGTTGCTTTTTCCTCACGCCACCGCAGCCACCGCCGTCCTGTAGCAACGGCTGTTGCTGTTCCTCTTCTTCTTTGATCGTTTCTTAAAGTGTGTCATAATATAATAAAAACATTTTGTAATATGTCAATTTTTTTATACATACAAATTCTTATGTTATTTGCTATCTACAATATCTACATACAATAATTGTACACGGATCTAATGCTATATTGTGTTGTTTAATTTCTTTAACGAAATAGACGTATCAATAATGTGATCAAACGATGAATATAATAATTATACATTAAAGTTTATGCAATAATACCAGTGGCGTAGCTGACCCCATGGAATTTTGTATTTATGTCTTTATCGTGGTTATACCTATACAGATAATAAAATAATAAAGTATTTATACCAGTGATATTTATTGTTTATTTTGCTATTTATTTTTGTTATATTTCCTTATTTCTTTATATAAGTTGACATTAATTCAGACAAATTGCTGCTTCAATTCTCTTCAGTTGAGACTATGTTATTTATTAAGATGGTTAACCTTTATTTAGTTATTCGTATTATTTATTATTCATAAAACATTCAGTAACTTAAGTTAATAAATTATGCATTTTTATTATGTATTTATTTATTATTTATATTTTATGTTATAAATTGCTTACCTACACTTTGGCTTTTATGCTGTTGCATGTTGCTTTGTTTTGTGAGATAAAAAACTTGGTTAAGAGCAAAGATGGATGAGGAAAAATTAACTGATTTGGCCTTATTAAACATTCATAGGGATATTACAGTAGACGTCCAATCAATAATAGATTGATTTTCAAGAGACAAAACTTGATCTATATTACTATAAAAATTGTTGTAAATATTTTTTTTTAGATTTTTTGTACAACTTTTGTACAATATATGTACATAAATTTACTTTTATTATTTTTTTATGAAAACAAATCAAAAATTCGAGTGCATTGGTGTGTTTCATGTCTTTATTACTGAAGTAAATGTATATCATACCTTTTTTTTATAACAGCAAATAATCAAATAATAATAATAATTTATTCAGCAATAATAGTTTACAATGGAAGATATGTACATATTTGTGATTATATTGCTAATAAATTATATTGCAAATAAATGGTAACTGTTAATTAGTTAAACAATAAATTAATAAACGGTTAAAACTAATAATTGCCAAAAAGTCCTAACCTCATGATATTTTTTGGTGTATAAGTGTATTACAATTTTTAAATAGCCCCCTCCCCTTGATTGAGCTCCAGCTACGCTACTGAATTATACAATAGCCAATATATTGATCGATATCCATCTACGAGATTTTATTTTTGTATATTTTTTTTCTTAATATTCTGTAACTGTTATACATTTATGTTGAAAATAATGTTTATGTAATATCTAGTATTGGTAGGATATTACTAGGAAATTATTTATAACATCAGATAGTAGTTGTTATACGATGTTATTGGGATGTTTGAATACACGTTACAATATTGCGTTAGTGAAACATAAATGTGACGTTATAAAATTTGAACATTAGAGATACCGTTGGTATTAATTTAACCCAAAAGCAACAACAAATGCAATGTAACTTATGAGTGTTATACGTATTTTATAGTTTTTGGTGTACAAAAAATGGTTACTTTTGGATGATCTAGTTATACTATATACTATACTTTTATCGCCGGATTCCGAAACAATGTTACTTTTGATTGGAATTATGTCATCGATAACCGACTGTTCTACGTTTATCACGAAGTCTCCAGGATAAAGTTTATCATAGGCATTAAATGCTTCCTTATCAAGTTCTATTTGTGTCTTAACTTGAGCATCAACTTTCCGATCCGAACACATTTCTGCGCCAAGTCTTATATCTCCAGTTAATAAGCTAGCATCATTCCATTCGAATACTTCGGTCACATTTCGGTTTTGTTGCTCTATGTGCATTACATTGCATATATCTGGAGTCTTCCCACTTTCTTTTAATCTATCTGACCTAATAATAATAATTGTTATAAGTGTATTATTATAATAGTATTAGGATGATTTAAAATTTGCTACTGAGTCCATTTCATAATACCGGCAATAAAATTGACTATACTATATTATTCAGAATAAAAAAGGTACCAGGCAGATTTGTATGCATGGGCGTTGATGAGAGAAGCATCTGACAGTCGTCGACAAAAACTGGTCACCATCATTGGCGCAATTAGGGGGGTGAAAAAGTGTCTTAAGTGCTCCCCAAGTTCAAATTTAACAGCCCTTGTTTTTTAGGTTTACATTTAGCTATTATTACTTTAGTGAAATACCATCAGTTTTATATTTTTAAATTATAAAATATTTACCGAAAGAAAATTAAAGCAATTTTGGTTATTACTATTGACTTAAGTTATAATATTAAATATTAATTCTTTATAATTAATAACAAGGAGCCACGGCTCTATGAAGTATTTACAATAATAGCACGTCACGCTTCTCAAGGTCTAGTTGCGCCTATGACTCATAGTAGAGTTATGATTTTGTTCTGGGAGGGATTTATAATTTGTTGGATAAAAACAAAGTGGAGGGCTTCGCCTCGCAAAACTCCCCTTTAGAGGTTTTATTTTTTTTTAATAATTCAGTACACAATTACATTTTTACATACAAATTTGATTAACTTCAATTGTTTAATTTATATATATTCTTAAATTATCTATACCTTTACCGAGTGGCATGTGCGTATCTGTATGATACTATAATAGCCAATAGTTGCAATTTGAGAACCAAGATAAGGACAAATTGAATTAAAACATAATATATTAATATGGGTAATTTTATATCTTTGTCGGTTAGACATTAAATATGCAAAAGCTCTGGGGGGATTTATCCCCATCAATAACCCCCAATAACTATCTGACAGTATGGTCAGCGCCCGATACCTTTCTTATTGTGAAAAGAGTTTAGAGGTAGCTACCTAGTAGAAATGAATAATGATAGTTCAGCTGAAATTTTAAAATATATAGTACAATATTTTAAACAACTAATTCGTACCACCTTCGTGCACTATTCCTATTAACTCATTTAAAAAATATTTTTATGTATAAAAAAGGTTTATTATTTATATGTTATATTCAATCATAATTACTGGTTTAAAAATTAAAACAAGAAGAATTATAGGTAAATTATAATAGTATAAAGAGTTATTGATTTCGGTTTTTTTATGACTATTTTCCAAACTCAAATCACATCATAGCACAAAAATGAGATATTTTGTGAGTGTGACATTCACATATTTAAAACTATTATTATCTTATACAACACTAATAATTTTTTCTCAATTTTTCGATACAATAAGCTCGTCGAATACCTAGATATTTCGTATACATATTACATGAAAAAATTTAATGACATTAAATAACAACATAGCCAAATTACTTTTTCTTAGAAGCACCGCTGCCAGAAACTGATAACTTGACTTCGCTTTCGACACTGTTGTTAATATATCAAATATGCATAAGTATTAGTAATCATAGTCTTACACTCGTACCTATCTATAAGGTGTGCGTCTTACTCTTTAGAAGTTGCATTTTTTCTTGCGTTTGAAGGTTTTTTATTTTCTGTGCTCGGTTTGTGCAATTCGAATTTAATACCCGCTAGTGCTCTTTCCCATTCAATGTCTGTAGCGTGTGGACCACTTTTAGGGACTGTTACTTGTGATGATATAGACCAGTTATACATTGGAACGTCTGAAAAGGCGTAATAACACTGAACACCTACGTTTGGTATAACTTGATATGAAGCATATTGGCGTTTGTCGTTGGACAAAGTTGTGCTAATTGTTGGAAAAGTGTCTTTTACATCCTTTTCGATGTCTCCGATACACGTTGCAGTGCCTTCTTTCTTTAAAAACTTCCTTGACATTTCAATTACCTGTTGATATTTGATACTGTGAATATTAAGTATACGCCTAAAGATTAATTTACGCATATTTTACTCCATTTTCCAAAGGATCAATTGTCTCGGGGGGAGGGTCTTTAAATGGACATATAGGCTCTGGATATTGCAATGCCAACGTCATAAGTTTTATATATTCATTTCGAACAACTTTATTTTTATTTTGTTCCAACACTTTCAACCAGCTTGATAATACACAGCTGTCTAAATGCAGTATAACATTTTAGTTAATAGGTACCTACCTAATACATATACACAACTACACAAGGTATGATAACTAAAATATATACAGTTTAATTTATTATAGGTCTTTAATGCGATTTTTTCCCCTAAAACTGTTAAAAACCTGAAGTTTTAAGAAGTATAGACCCGTTACAGATTCCGTTGGCCTATTTAGAAAATTGCTATTAGTAGCCGATTACCAAAAGTTTATAAAGTTGTATGCCGTTAGCTAATGAACAAAACTCTGAACATCGTTTATTTAGAAATCGGTACCAGTAAAAATGAAGAACAATTTTTTTATTCAATTAACCTTTAAGTATTTAAAGTTAATTTTTGTTAATCGATACAACAGTTTTGTTTTTAATTAGATATCACTTTTCCTGTATTATTCAAGTTGTTGGTTTATTTTTATCTAAGTTTAAGTTTATCTCCTAGAAAAATGTACAAAGAAGTGATATGTAGCATAAATCATATTTATGAATTTATGGTTTTATAACATAAACATATAATATGAAATTACGTCTGCGCCATGGGAGTAATGAGTAGATAACCTATATGTATATAATACATATTATTATGTTTTATATTTATGTATAAGCTAAATTATGCTGTATACATATAGTATATAGTCTAAGGGTTCACAGAATTAAATATGAAGTACCTACAAATATTAAATGCATTTAGCTGACACTATAATATTATTATTTTAAAAATGAAATTGTGAATTGAATAACTAATATTTAATTGTAACCAATAAAATATAAACCGTTTTAAAGTTTTGAACTAAATTTTGTATTTTTATTAGATACAATATATTATAATAAGTTTTAATTTTTTATAAGGTTGATGCATAATTAATATCTTGTACATATTGAAGCATTAGGTTTTTTTTATTATTTAATCTATACAAATTAGGGCCAAAATCTAAAATAGTTCTTGTTTCAATTTACACTCAGTCGCCCTTCATTGGTGCCAAGGATGAACTGGGAGACAGAAGACAAGACCAAATGGATTATTAGATAGTACAACTCATTTGATCATATCTGTGTACACAATATCAATAATTCATAAATGATAACAAAATATGTAACGTTAAAACTTTAAAAGCAGTATTTAAATGGGTTTGTCGCCTTACACCTACTTAATTATACTGTGAAAAGTAACCAGTAAATTGTATCTATATAGTTATACTATACCGACAACAATATTTCATATTTATTATGAATTAATTATTATTATAAAAATTACCTCCGATATCATTACGTTTTAAAATCAATTGTTTAACTATATCATAAAAAAAAAAAAATGTAACGTCTTCATCATCCGTTGGATTGGTATTTCTTGTTTCTATATTATCATTGCTTTCACTGTTAGCAGCCATATTTAACTATCTAATTTACAAATCCGAATTTAACCAATTAAGTAGGTATTATTTTATATCAATATTAACAATTCAATAAAACACATATTTTCATATTAATTTAATACAAGCATTAAATTTAAATATAAAAAGTTACTTAATGTTTTTAAATTATTTAATGTTGCTAAGTGCAAAAATAAATGTTTAAAGCCAAATAATAGCTGTTATAGCTATCATGATTAGGTATAATATTATCAACACGCTTTAATAATCATGATTTTATACACTCGGCCTGACTCGCATTTCTCAATAGCTTGTATATACCTACATTTTGTGAGATCTATTACTTATATAATAGTTATATAACGCTATAACTTATATAATTATATAGGTAACTTAAATATCAATACTAAGCACTTACAGTAGAACAGTGTAGACAAGTTGATTATGATATAAATACTAAAATACCTAGCTTAAACATTTTTTAAATATTTTGTTTAAGTCATTGTTGATAATTTTAGTGGACATTTAAATAGCTGATTATTTCAAATGTCTAGGATTAGGATTTTTTGAATTTCAAAAAAAAAAATAACAAAAATCGAGTAATAAATCGTTAATTTATGGTTGAATAATATCAAATTCAATTGGTTAGACAAATTGTATGTGACTGCACATTAAACAACTTTTTTTAATTCCAGTAAAAAAAATGTATGAGTTTTAGTAATACATATTGTAAAAATAGTATTGCCGGATTGCATGACAATCAGCTAACATTGAACGAATCAACAGTGAACTAATGGTCCTTTAAACATAATTTAGAGGCCCATGATTGGACTATTAAATTTTATTGGACCATTAAATTCATAATTTTTTTATGGAACCCGGCATAAGTATTTTAAAACGATAAAATAAATACAAAATAATAAAAAAAAACGAATTACAGCTTATAGACTTGCTATGCAACACCACCTAAAGTTGGTCACAGTGTAACGGCTGTTATACCATAGTACAACCACTCTTATCATTCAAAAGCTTATCACTACCGAAACGGTGGCGGCGAAATGTCCAGGTCCGTAGTCGTTGGGCACTTGGCACTAGCGGCTTAATAAATAATATTAAAATAGTCTGTACCATATACTATTCACTCTTTTTCAATAGTTCACTGGAAGTCCTGAAATCGTCGTTATAACCGATTTTCAATCTACTACGCTGGAACACATATAAATGGTATTATTCTTGAGTATGAAAGTATAAAATGTACATAATAGAATAATATATTTACATATATTGATTTATAATATACTTCACGCACATTATTGAGTTATTATATTAGATATAAATACTTTATTCATAATCTACATATTATAATAAGAAATAATAATACACAAAATATCAACACGTCATGTTTTTAATATGCATACCAATTATTACTGTATGTATTTTCAGGATGAAAATAATATGATTTTGCATGTAGGCAAACTGCAATAGTATATTTAAATAATTTATAGAATAAAATAAAATTACGTAGTAAGTTAATATATTTATGATATAATATACCTATAACTATATTGTATATTATGTCATGTCTGGGTCCCGGGATAGAATAGGCCCAGAGCAATCCCTGCTTGTCGTAAGAGGCGACCAAAAGGGTCTGGGGAAGGGCAGCAGCTTCTCCAGTATTGGTTGTAGGTGGAGATCAAGGAGATCGGTACAGCTACATACCAAACATTTGTAAGTGAAGATGGCAGCCATCTAAAGGGTTACAAAACTGCGAGGTGGAAGGAAACGGGAAACCACCACCTTATTATCCCTAGTATCTGCAGTTATGGATTGTGAACTCATTGTAAAAGATTCCGGACGTAAACTAGTCTCCCGTTCGGATGTCCGGGTGGAGACTACCTTGAGTAAAACAAAACAAAACTATAAAAGAGTAGGCACATGGAATGTAAGAACCTTGAGAAGAAGCGGAAAGTTTGAAAATTTAAAACTAGAAATGAGAAGACTAAATATTGACATTATAGGGATAAGTGAAGTAAGATGGCCAGATCCCGGTGACTTTTGGAGTGATGAGTTTAGATTCATTCATACAGGCTCGGAAAATGGACATACTGGGGTAGGCATCATCATGAATAAACAGTGTGGAGAAAGTGTGATCAGCTACTATCAATGTACAGATAGGATCATCATGGTTAAAATTAACACTAAACCTGCTATTACAACGATTATCCAAGTATACATGCCAACATCATCACACAATGACGAAGAAGTTGAAGAAACTTATGATAAAATAGATGAAATAATGGCGATGACTAAAGCAGGGGAGAATGTTATAATCCTGGGCGACTGGAATGCAGCAGTAGGAGAAGGGAAAGAAAGTAACATAACGGGTAGTTATGGCTTGGGAACCAGAAATGAGAGAGGGGAACGACTAATACAGTTCTGTACACAACACAAATTGACAATTGCAAACACTTTGTTCCAACACCATAAAAGAAGATTATATACCTGGAAGAGGCCGGGAGATACAGCGAGATATCAAATCGATTACATTATTACTAAAAAACGCTTTAAAAATCAAATTAAACAATGCAAAACCTATCCTGGTGCTGATAATGACAGCGATCACAATCTAATTATTATGGAAACAAATCTAAAGTACAAAAAAATTAAGAAAGGTGTTTTCACAAAGAAATGGAATTTAGAAGTATTTAAGAAAGATGAGAAGAGAATAGAATTTAAAGAGAAATGTAAGAAAGCATTAAACAACATACAAATTGAGAACTGTCAGTCGGAGGAAAATAAATGGGAAAATATTAAGGAAATTCTAAAGATCCAGGCAGAGGAAGTATTAGGAATCCAAAAGAAAGAGCCGAGGAAGCCTTGGATGACAGACAAAATAGTTAAGCTAATAAATGAAAGAAGAAGGTATAAAAATCAAACTAACACTCAAGAACAACAACAATACAAAAGAATACGAAATGAAGTGCAAAGGAAGATAAAAAAAGCGAAAGAAAAATGGCTAGATGAGCAATGTAAGGGAATAGAAAATTTTCTAAAAAAAGGAAGAAGTGACCTGGCGTTTTCAGAAACCAAAAAGCTTTTTCGTGAAAGGAAACAAAATGCAGGAACCCTAGTAAACAAAAACGGCGAATTACTACTAGAAGCTGGTCAAAGGGCTAAAAGATGGAAAGAATATCTGGAAGAATTATATGAGGATAATTCAACTATGATGTTTGAGGAAGAGGATAATGTAGATGAGGATGATAAAGGTGATTATATCTTGCAGGCAGAATTTGAACATGCGATGGACTCCCTTAAAAACAATAAAGCGTATAGTGTAGATGAAATCCCAGCAGAGTTACTTAAATACACAGACGTAGTTGTTAAAAAAGAACTGTACAAAATATGCAATGAAATATATTTAAAGGGAAGAACCATTAGTGATTTCGAGAAGGGTATTGTGGTACTGATTCCAAAAAAGAAAGGAACACAAAAATGTGAAGAGTACAGAACATTAAACCTCATCACACATGCCGCCAAAATTATCACCAGAATAATCAAAAACAGGATAGATAAAAAGATAGAAGAAAATCTGAGTAAAGATCAATTTGGATTCAGAAAAAACATAGGAACAAGGGAGGCAATTTTAACACTGAGAGTACTAATTGAAAAACAAATTAGGAGAAACAAAGATACATTTATAGCCTTTGTCGATTTAGAGAAGGCGTTTGATAATGTAAAGTGGAGTATATTATTCGATATTCTGAAATCAATTGGAATTAAGTATTACGACAGAAGATGCATTTATAATTTATACAAAAACCAAACTTTATTAATTCGTATAGATGGAAAAGAAGAAATAGCAAAAATTAAAAAAGGGGTACGACAGGGCTGTAACCTATCACCCATGCTGTTTAATCTATATATTGAAGAAGTAATGAAAGAACTAAGAATAGAAGTAAAGCAAGGAGTTAGAATAGGGGGAGAAACAATTAACGCTCTGAGATTTGCTGATGACATCGCTTTCTGCGCAGAAACAGAAAATGACCTACAAAATATTTTAACTAAGGTCAATAAAATATTAGGGGACAAATATGGAATGCGATTAAATAAAAAAAAGACAAAGGTTATGGCGTGCAGCAAGACAAACCCTGCTAAACTTAATATATACATAGATAACGCACGCATAGAACAAGTACAACACTTTAATTATTTAGGAAGTAAAATAACAGAAGATGGCCGTAGTAAAGATGAAATTCTAAGTAGAATAGCGCAAGCGAAGAGGGCTTTCCAGAATAAAAAACATCTACTAACCACCAATAGTATGGACTTAGAGGTAAGGAAAAGGTTCTTAAAAATATATATATGGAGTATTGCCTTATATGGCTGTGAAACCTGGACAATCAGTGCAACAGAGAAAAGAAAACTAGAGGCCTTCGAAATGTGGTGTTATCGTAAAATGTTGAGAATTAAATGGATTGACAGAATAACGAATGAAGCAGTACTAATTAGAATAAAAGAAAAGGAAATACTATGGCATACCGTAAAAGTTAGAAGAGCTAAAATGATAGGACATCTACTACGCCATGAGAGTCTAACAAAAACCGTCATAGAAGGCGACGTTGAAGGCCATATAGGAAGAGGAAGACCAAGGATGGAGTATATGAAGCAATTAATGAGTGACATGGGGAAGAATAGTTATAAAAAACTAAAGGAATTGAGTAATGATAGGGAAGCATGGAGAACTGCAGCAAACCAATCTAAGGATTGAAGACAAAAAAAAAAAAAAAAATATTATGTCATATTTTATTGTAATTACTTTTGAGTCAACACTTTCCCATCATAGATCGGTGAGTAAATATGTTTGTTGTACAAACAATAGCAATATCATACAATTAATCTGAATGTTTTTAAAATGCCACTAATAAAAAATATAATCATATGAAAACGTCCAAAGCTTCGAATCACTAAGTATAATATAATAAATTGAATTAGCTGGTAATTTAAAGGTACCTACACAA